CCCTATAACTCTTACTACCAATATGACAATGTTGCGAAAACAAGGTCAAACAACCTCTATACAACGAAAGAAGACTGCGACCACACAAAAGGCTACACAATCTTGGTCTTCATACCTATGATTATCAATATATTGCAGCTCAATTAGGTTTCGCAATACGATTAGGCACAGATCGGCTCATTCTGCAAATCTGACGAAGTACTGCAAAAACAATTCCTGTTTAATATTACTTCATACTCCAAATAAGTCACCATTCGTATTTCTTCCCTTAAGTCTTTGAAGTTATGGCATGTATTTGCACCACCACTTACACATTTATTTAGCACTGCCACGCAATAGTGTTCCGTCCAAATAATCACTTTGTATTATTGTTATATTCGGCTTATTAGTCCTTTACTATCTATAAAAAAATTATAATATAAAAACGATTATTTAAATGAGATTTTTATTAAAGACTACGTTAAATATTTAACGAAAGAACATTCTGGAGTAATTTGTCTTACTATTTTGTCATTTACTTGATAGTTTTTCATCTGAGTTACAAATACTTATGCTCGGAATATATTTTATTTTACTGCAGACGGAGGCCTCTCGTGTGCTAAATGAAGCTCAGGCGCTTTTCTCTGGACCAGCAGAGGTCGCTCGTCTGAAAGTGGCGCAAGCCGATCTGGCCCTGGCGAGCGGGGATCTGGACACTGCTCTGGCACAGTTGCGCTCCATTCCACCTGGTCACCCTTATTTTTTAATGGCCCGACAACAAATGGCTCGAATCTATCTGGAGCAGCGTTACGAACCAAAATTGTTCATTGCTTGCTATCGGTAAGAGGCTCTGCTGAATATTTCACTATTTAATAGAATGGGTAAACTCAGTGGCAAATAAATATATATAACAGAGTTCTAATTAGAGAATATAGGTTTATTTATTTAAGGAAAGTTGTTCAAAATCGAGGAAAGACTCCTTTTGATTACAACAAAATTACTTTTTTTTAATAGGTTGCTTTACACCTTTCTCTTCAAGTCCATTTATGTCTGGATAAATTCTAGTTTACCTTTCTGATAAGATAACCATTATTCTGCAATCTACACTTAATCGGCTTTTAATATGGGGCTTATTCGGCATACTCGTTTGTTAACACATGTCCGATTACTGGCTTAAAAAATTATACATTATTCAATATTTTCAATATTAAATTCTTAATTTACCCTTCTCTTCCAATTAGAAACATATAATATCTAATGTTCTATATGTAAAACGCAAATCTAAATTTTCGAATGTTTACACGCCAAATCTCATTCCTAGCTGGCAAGTTTGACTCTTTACATATTAAGAGAAACTGAGATTAGATGAATTCCTTAATATGTGTATGTTGTATCTTTTATTTAATTTTAAATGGCAGATGTCAGGCATTTGTAAATTCGCCTTACCGGAAGCCGAAGGAGCCTACATTTCTGACTATAGCATTATACGCATCACCCAGCGATCCCGATAATTCCAAACTCAAGTTTTTTCTGTCAATTAGCAGATGTTGCCAGAATAGGTAACATGTTTTACAAAAGATTAGTAAATACACAAAGAAATAAAGGCTTTACAAGAATGACAAAAATATTTCATTTTTAGCTGATCTTTGCCTAATATCTATATTTTTTGCTGAAGATACAGGCTCTTCGTGTTAAAAAAGAAAAGCGACTTCACTCACTTTTCAAATGGCATACTATTGCAAACATATCCATCAGTTAACACTTATATGGATGGAGACAATAACAAAAAATGGCATATACATTATGCTTAGGACTAACGCTTTGCACTTATCTCCTTCTCGACTTTCAGTGATATGGCAGATAAACTGGGCACCCGAGAAGCTTACGAACTATTGGGTGATGCCTATCTGCGCATCCAAGAGCCGGAACGGGCCATTGAAATTTACGAGAGCCTACTTTGCAGTCCCGGCACATCCCAGTCTACAGCAACTGCTGCTACTGAGATGTCATCTGCACCAATAAAGCCAAACGGTAGACTTACCCTAAAGCTGGGGAGGGCGCTTGTGCAGGCACATCTTTATGAGCGTGCCATAGCCTATTACCAAGACGCCTTGCCACGTGACCCTCGGATAACGACAACATCATCCGGAACTATGGAAACTGTATTATCAGCAGATAAGGCAATGCCAAATGCAAATAGATTAAATAGGCCTAGCACATCAACTACAATGGTTGCCGGTCCATTGCTTCAGGATTTAGCTGAGCTTCTTATAAATCTTCGTAAATATGATCTCGCTAAAAGTCTGCTAATGGAAAGTCTTGAATTTCTGGAGCCCTCACGTGAGTAATTATTTAGGGAAGGCTATGTCAATTCCATATTTGCAATCCCGCCTATAGGTGAAATATATACCGATATATGCTTCCATGCCCTTGCCTTTTTTACTCTACATTGTTCATATTGTTATACGATGATGCGAGCTTTTAAGGCAAAATTTGCACAATAAGGACAATTCTTGCGATTTTAAACCTTGCTTTCATACCTGGAGCACATCCAAGCGTCTATCTCAGTTACCCTGGTTGGAGTATTTGAATATTCATCGTAACTTAATTCTTTGATTAAGAGCATCATCTAACATACCTTACGTTTCAGCGTAGGGGTATCTGCATTATTCACTTCTCGGCCCGTAGGTCTTATAACAAAAGTGATATCAGAAGATAATGTAACGATTAAATAAGCTTAAAATAAAGGGTAATTTTGGAAAAAATTTCCTGGCCTTCTATATGGACAAAAAAATTGCAAAATACAATTTTTAAGTATGCATTCCTCGATCCATGTTTTATTGATTAAGGCCACTTCATTTTAATATCTATTCATTAAAAATAATTAAGGTCTCTTCTGCGTTGTATTCTACATGCATTTTCCCCTTTCGGATATAAGCGCAAAATTCCTCATTAGGATTTGACTATCTTATATTCACTCAATGGTTAGATTCCATCATAGGCTTTGCAATTCAAAATTGTCCTAATTATAATGTTAATTTTAAAAAATCAGATCACAGATCATAACCAACTTAAATTGGCTTTATTTAAGTATTAAATTAATTTGAGCACCAGGATTTTCCTCACGATCACTAATTTGGCAATATATCCTATCTCTTCTCAAGTGCGTTTTTTTGAACTGCGTACAACCCATGGTTTGTTTCTTTACTTTTTCATAATTTGCAGATTAAACGGTTATAAAACACT